CCTTCTTTACAGCACTGCTGGAAATACCAAACACCACAGGTGATTATTCCACCATTCACACTCACTACTGTGTCAGGTTTCCTACAATCTTTACTGCCCAACTTTATTTACAAGTTAATTTCTTCATCATTAAATTTTAATTTTTTTTTTCCTTTATGTTCAAGCACAATTTGCAAGCTGGAAATAACCAAAAATTCTGTCCACGCAGTTTATAACTGCTCACTTTCCAAACACAGCACTAGAAAATGCATTAAGAAGTACTTCATAAACTTCTGTCACTGCAGTAGGAAGTGACTGCAAATTATTACAGCTTTTCCAATTTAATGAGTATATTTAAATCTTGAAGCTATAGTGTTACTGTGTGCACTCAGCACAGAGATTTAAAAAAAAATAAGGAAAAAAAAGAGAAAAAAGAGGAGTGTTTCACATTTACATTCACACCATGCAGAGTAACTGGTAAGCACTGATGTTTTTCAGATGAGCATACATTACTTTGCCTGCCACATGAAGGCATTCTGTAATTTGTAAACTATTTTAAATTCTACTGGAATTCAAGTTTTCTGTTTTATTTAAACATATTGAAAGAACTAATATACAATGCTAAAATTTTTGTTCACAGTCTTCAGTGCATCATCCTGTGCAATTTTTAATTCTCTCCATTCCCTGTGTAATTTGAAATTCTAGCATTTTCCACAACTACTCACTACTTATCTGTCATGCTCAAAGCAGTGTTCAAGGAGTGTTAACTATTTTTGCTGAAGGTTTTTTAACAAAATCATAAGAATGTATTTCCACAGCTTTCTCCAACTACAAGTGACAAAACCCTAAGAATTAACAGTGCCCAAAGTCATAGGAAAAGAACATTTTTAGCATTTTACTGGTATAGAAACAGATTCAGGAATAAGAGACTGTGGCATGGCAGAGAACAGAAGCTTAGTATCTGATTTGGCTCCCTCATTTTGATTAGACTGGGAAATAAAAAGAAATAATCCAAGTATCTACTCCTGATTTAGATGTTCCTCTGTACTGTAAGAAAAGTTAGATGTAAGAAATTTTAAGAAAATGTTGAGAAAAGTTATTTTTAAATGTTTCAGAAACATTTTTCTCTACTTACAATAGTGTTTTACCAACTTTTCACCATTCAGGAACTCATATTCACAAAAAATAAGTGGTTCTAAAAAGAATGGTTGCTCATATATACTTGCCTGATAACCCTAGCCTGGATTTTAATAAAGCACACAAGAAAAGAGATTTCTTAAAACATGCATTCGTTAAAATAAGCATGACACTTCATCATGCAAGCAGTAAAGACAAGCAAATGCTATATTATTTATACAACAAAAAATAAGGACTTCAATTAAGTAACTCCCTAAAATGTCTACATTAAAAAGCAGCATTTCGATATTTTGGTATACATTTAACTGAATGTTAATATCCTGATACAATACAGTTTGCCAAAGCTGACTGTTCAATTTCCCCTAACATTGTAAAAAGAGAAAAGATTAAATGTGAGAAATTAAGCAATACATTGTCTACAATGGATATTTAAGCTATTGCTTATTATTTGTTATAAAATGTCTCAGACACTCTTAATCTATTACCAAGCTGCAAAAATAGAACATTTGTGTTTAAGTATCTTGCCATTACAGCGTTTTCACCAGATTTTTCAAGTGCATTTCAATGTAAATACACAACAATGGTTTGATGCCTTTAGTGGAACAAGTCTACTACAATTTTTGAAAGACACACACAAGCTCACAATAAGTAACTGCTACACAAGCCTACGATAAGTAATGTAAGGTCATTTTCTTTAGGTTCAGGAGACAATAGTAAAATACTCTGTGACCAGGAGAGTTCAGGTAAATAATCCTCATTAAACCCATTCTGAGAATTCCACAAAGAACATAATATATCTTCCATGATCACATTTACAATTTCAAGTGATTAGTCACCATTTTAACCACCACTATTTAGAAGCAGTCCTGAAATATGAGTGGTTACAATTATCATAAAAGCTTAGAAGTTCTTACATATTTGAGCTTATTTTAACAGCTCAAATTGTTTTTGGCACCTGTGTGAACACCTAGTCTCTCACTGAATCTTGATGTTCCCTGGTACAGTGACCTTCTTGGAATAATTCTGCATTGTTAGAAAACATCCTTCCTTCAGTCAGTCTTAAAACGGCTCCATTTCAATTTCATCCCTTTCATCCCTTCAACCCCTTGCTTTTGTAGCTAACAAAATGCAAACAAGCCCCCAAATAATAACCCAAAAGGAGATTCCTGGCCAAAACTCTGTATATTTCACCATTCTGGGATGGCTACTATTGCAACTCTGAATGCACCTCCCCTAATGCTTGAACCAAAAACAGAATTTCTGTCCAAAAATCAAATGTTTCTTTCAAAATTAAAATAAATAAATTTTAAAAACCCATAAGAGCAGCCTTAAAATGAAGCTCATGCTTTTCTGAAAATGACATAGTTCAGAATCTTCTACATGATTTATTGAAGTTACCCTTAGCTACCTCCCAGATCCTTTCCCTTACTTTACATGGAAATTTTCCCATTCCTTTACTCATTAGTGACTCTAACTTTCCTTCAGTTTTGTTCAACACAGGGTAACCACAACTGAAAAAAGCACAAACCAGTGATTTATATGATATTATTATATTTTCCTTCACTGTTCCCTTTTGTATTGCTCAAATACTGCAATACTATGGTTCCCTTCCACAGAGTGATGCATATTAAAATATAAAGACATTTTGAAAGCCTGGACTTAAAAATACAGAACTGTTCAGGGATGTGGAAGCTCATCATAGCCTTGGCTATCACCATCACTATGACATGATGAAGTCTGAAATCCTGAAAGAAGCCAGAGAAACAAAAAATGAAACAGCAGCCCTGGACTTCAGAAGAAGCGTATGTTGGCTTGTTCAGAGATCTGCTTGGCAGGATCATACAGGAGACTGTTTTAAAGGGTAAATAGGCCCAGGAAATCTGTCTCTCTCTCTCCCCAAGGACTTCACACCAGGAGAATGAGGCATGTCAGTGTGCAACAAATTAAATCTGGATGAAGGCCAGCATGAATGAACCAGGGACTCCTGACTTAGTTTAAAAAGGAAAAGGAGGCAAGCAGAACATGGAAAGGGAAACTTCACAGACAAGGTATGCACTGATATTGCTGTAGTGTACAGTCATGGAATTAGGAAATCCAAAACTCAGCCAGAGAATAAACTAGCAAAGGGAAAAAGAAAGGCTTCTCTATGAGGACAGGCAGGAAAATCAAACCATGAAATTAAAGGGAATGGCAGATGAACTGAAGGCCAGGGCTGCTGGTCTATCTACACCTCAACAAGCTGAAGAAGATGGGCTAACAAGATGCCATGAAGGTCCACCAAAGCAGGCACTAGGCCCTCCACCTGGAACAGAGCATCTCTGTGCACTAGCTCAGACCAGGGGCTGACGATCTGAGAGCAGCTTTGCAGAAAACCTGTGTGTTGAACATGAGTCAGCAATGTGCCCTGGCAGCAAAGGTGGCCAGGAGCACCCCAGGCTGCCTGAGCAAGAGGACAGCCAGCAGGACAGGGGAACACACCACTCTCCTCCAGTGAACACTGATGAGAGCATATGCAGGCTGCTGTGCCTGCATGGAGAAAGGCACTGTCACACTGCAGCACAGCCACCAAACCAGGTAAGGCTGTGGCAGACGGCATGCAAGGAGCTGAGTGAATCCATCTGCTCAGTCTTAAGAACAGGAGAGACTTTACTGCTGTCTTCCAGCAGTTGCTGGAGGATACAGAGGGGATGGAGCCAGGTTCTTCTCACATGTACACAGGAGGACAAGAGGCAGCAGGCATAAGCTACAGAAGGAGAAATTCCAACAAAGTATCCATAAAAGGAAAAAAATTACTATGAGCGTAGACAAATGCTGGAACAAGATGCCCAGATAGACTGTGGTATCTCCAGCCCTGCAGATAACCAAATCCTGAGCAACCCGATGTAACCCGCCCTGAGATCTGGGATACTCAGTGTGGGTGCTGGCCTGAAGTCCTCTGCAAAGAAAATTATTCTGTAAATTTATTTTACTGTTCTGTGACTAAAAGCAAAAATTCAAGCAAACCCATAAAACAAACAAACAACCTAAACACAAAAAAAACCCACATTCACAGCATGTATGTCCCAAATTTCAAACATTTTTAAAAATTTTTACTTCAACAATAGAAATCCTATCAGGCACCAAAAGATAAAAATTTGTTTTAAATGCCATATATTTTGTTGTGAGATTCCTTTCAAAACAGAAACTACAAGCAAAACACATTAGTTTGAATTGTACAAAAAATATTGACTTTAATCGAGAGGAAATAGGTACAAGACAGTCTCTAACATCAAAATTGCAAGGACAGCAAAGGATACCTTCTGACGACAGATAAATAAAAAGAAACTGAAAACAAAAGAGTTGTGACTTACTTCAGGAAACTCAACCAGTGTGAGAAATGTAAGCAAAATTACCACTCTGATATGATTCAAATCTCTAAAGTGCAACCAGCTCAGAAGCACTCACTTTATTCATCTTTCTAGGCACCCACGTGACAAAAGCATAGCAAAAATAAACTATTTTTAGAAATAAAAAGACCTAAAAATGTAAGACCATGAGAGTCAATGACAATATGAAAATTCTTACTGATACAGTAATATAATGCTCTAAGTGGACTGCATTTTCACACTTTTGAGATTTCTTTGAGATTTTGTGCATTTGATTAATTCTGTCTGTATAGTGAGGCAGTGCTAATTTATGCCTTCCTACGGGGATGACGGCTGTCTGTGCCAGCACCACAAACTGAATCAAGAAACTCCAGAGCTAAAACCTAACAGGCTACAGTCTCTTAACTCAGAACTGCAGATTCATGTTTTATTCATAAAAGCAGATACCTACACACCAGCTTTTCAAATGCATGCTTTTGTCATTTAACCTTTTTGATTTTAAAAAATGACATATCTTACCTTTAGGTCACTTCCTGGCAAAGTACCTATGCCATCCTTCCAGTCCATTGCACTAAATACATCAAACTCCTGACCATTTCCACTAGATGCAGATTCATTCATGATGCATGTACTGGAAAAAAAAGGAGAAAAAGTTATCTGAAAATTCTGTAAGTGGTTTAATGCTTATATCACCAAATATTTCTTCTAATGCATTTCACAGATTTGTATCAAATGCTTCCCTCTGCACACTGGCAACATGGACAACTGATGACAAGGGTGATAACATACATGATGTAATAAAAGTAAGGTGAAATCTTTCTGAAACCCTGAGAATAATACCTGTTTCACACACTAGAAGGCAATGGGGCTGTACTGGAGAGAAAAGAAAAATTTCAGACTGTAAATAAATTGACATGAGGAAAACATGTTAAGTACACTTAAAAACATCTGTTCTAAGAAAGGCAAGACATGACTGCATGCCTCTAATAAATACACTAAGCACTGATTAACAGAACTGGATTTCCTTAATACTGGATAGCATGCTGATGTGAATGCTCCATCCAAGTTCAAATTGAAATTTCAAAATTATTTTGAAACTGTAAGTTTCCTGATCTGACTCAAGACACTTGAATATTCTTTATCTGTTTCCATACAGATAAATTTTGAATTGCATTTGTTAAAACTTACTTCCATGTAGAGAAGCACATATATACCCCAGAGAAACCTACTGCTTTGCAAGACTTTACTGGATCCCTCTGTTTCAGAACAGTGAATGGAGAGAAGATAATATTTACCTTCAGAAATAGTGCATCTGGACATCCCTTTCTGTAATAAAAAATTTGCACAAGCAACAGAAGTGCACTGCACTTGCCTCTGACCCCTGGCTTCAGCTCACCACTCGTCACTGCCACAAACACCCCATCAAAAGTGCTTCTAGCAGCCAGTTGTGAGTGCCACCAACTTCTTCCTTTCCCCTTCTCACAAACCCAGCAATCTTTAAATCTGTGGCCTGGCACCTAAATTTACTATTTGTGCAATGTGGAATCCGACTTATTAACTTTGTTTCTGAAGAATGGCTGCACTATGCCTAGCAGCTGAAATAATCTGTGGCAAAATTAGCTGTCATTGTTTGTGAGCTATTAGCAAAACCTCACCACTTTTGAAATTTGCACTTTCTGGACTTTTTGGAGTGTAAACTCTCTGAACTTTTAAACAAACGCTTTCTAAGCCTCATATCCCATCAGGAGACTGCAAACTTTTGCTGCAAGTATCAGTATATGAAATTCAAATAGAGAACTTCCTCAAAGTTTAATCTTGTTTTCTAAAAGCTAATTTCTAACTTAGGTCCCACTCTGAATCTGCAAATACTCTCTGGAGATCCTGACTTTTCACAAAAAACCCCAAACAAACAACCAACCAACCAAAAAGGTCCTATTTGTTCACTCTGGTAACAGAAAAAGATGCAAACCAAGCAGAAGAAAACTCTAGTCATCTAGAAGGTTTTTATTGAAAGGTTGAGGAGAAAAACAGTTGCATGAAAAATAATTGAATGTACATTTTATTCATCAGAAAAATAGTATCAGTCACTGTAAACTGTAACATCACTGCTACAGACACATACTAGTTTGATTTGGGGTACACAATTTGAACTCCCTTTCATTTCTCCTTGGTTTCCTCTTAATTTCTAGCAGAAGTCTTTAAAATCCTAAGCAACACCTTACTCCATGAGTTCTTTCATTACACTACAGCAACTACACAGTTATCAACAAGATAACTGAGGAGCTGGACCTCAGTCAGTATCCACTACTAAGAGTAAAAGCCATTGCATTCCCCTTTATTTCATATGGCAGGCAGGGTTCACAGAATGTTTTTTGAGCAAACTTCACATTTTTCACATGACAAGTTTGAAGTAAGAAGAACCAAATGATTGAATGTGTCTTTCCCACCTTTAGGTAATTCTCTGCAAGAAAGTATTGAAAACCATAACAAAAATGTACAAAAATTCATTTTTAAAAACATCAAAAAATCTAAACAAATTCAGTGCAAACTGAGAAATTCCCCAAAGCCATAGATCACATCTTTTACAATCATGCCCAGGCAAAATCCACCACCCTACCTCAGGGCAAGCTCCTGCAATACAATTTGGGATCTCTGCTCGATCTGAGTACCAGGTACCAGCGCAAACCAATTCAAGCAGGCTTGAGCAAACTGCAGCACAGTGGCAGAGGCACAGGCCTTTCCCCAAGAACACAAGACCCAAGCTGCTAAGGAGTAGCTGAAAAAGCTGGGATCTCTCCAGGCACCCGTGAAGTTTTAAGGACACAAAACATGCTGGTTCAAGCACATTGGTGGAACAAGCTCCCCAGGATTAGCCTGGCTAAGCAAACACAAAGCTGTGTTCCGCATTAACTGAAGTCTCTAAGTAATCTTAAATTATCATTCTATTTAGAGGACACTTCACTCAACCCTCCTGTGATTTATTACAGAAAACATGCTCCAATGATTTCTGCAGAAGGTATGACAGAAGTTGGGAAAAGACTTGGAAGGCTGTGGAGAAATGCTACCTCTCAGCAGCTGCTGTACCACAGAGCAAGGAGCCTCGGACAGCACAGCTGCTCCATCAGATGCTGTCATCTCCCACAGTGCCACTCCCATTCCTGACACGAAAATTACTTGGGGACTGGGAAACTGAAAGAGTCTAGCCTACTTAGGCCAGGAGTTAACCATGAAAGGTAATGAAAACTTGGTAACAGAAATGTTCAGGGCATACTTGTCTCAAGAAAACATACAAATTCTGACTTAATTGCACATAAGAAACTTTCCTCAGGTAACAAACAGCAATAATGATACATTCTGGAGATGTCTAAAGACATTCATTATTGCTTTCCTTTTGAAATTAACTCAACGTCAAAGGCACAATCTGTGTATGTTTCACATTCTGCAGCCTTCAAAAGTGTTCTTGGTGGGAATGAAAAGGTCACAGGGCAACGCAGATAGAAATTAATTTACAAAAAGGAATCACTTTTAACAAAGTATCTGTTTCCAGCTTTGCTGACTTTGAACAGATGAAAGATAGGCCTATATCTCTCTACTAATTAGATAGCAAGAAACAAGATACAGACTAGTAAAATTGTTACAGCACTGAGGTACTAAAAAATGAAGAATTCATTGCAATAGCTACATCTCAATCTCAGAACAAAGAAAACTAAAGAATGTCTTATCTACACCTTTAATTTTTTTTGGTTTTAAAGCTCTGATATAGTTCTTTGAACTAGTATAACTCCTTCTATAATGATTTCATCTGGTACCATTGCTGCTGTTGCACTGCCAGAAAAGTGGTAAAAATACTAGACAAATAAGGGGCCTGTCAGTGAATGCCATCAAATGCAAAGGAAAGGACATAATAGTAAGTACCTGGAGCAGTCATCTTCCAAAAGCATCTCCAAAATCTGCCTTTAGGGATGTAACTATCTCAGCTCTCACAGCCGTAAGAGAAGTGTGCTGCTTATTAATATTTCAACATTAACTTTGTTTCAGACATTTGTAATAAAGCCACTAAAATAAACAAGCACATTTAATAAGATTAAGACACATCCTTTAGAAAAACCTTCATTTTTACCAACAGGTTCAACGATAAATGTGTACCTCACAGAGGAGATACTTACTGAGAATAACAGCACTAAAAATTAGATAGTTTCATCTGGTGAGAGACTGAAAGAAACAAAGGAAAGAAGCAGGACAGAATATGCCAATTAGATTTACAAGTAGTTTTTGAAGTAATTATAGGGTTATGTAGTGAATATATCAGAAAGTAGTAACAGGAGTCTTCCTTCCAGTCAGTGCCTTAAAAAATTACCTGACCCTTACCCGAATTTTTAACATCTAAGATGCTAACTGTAAGATGCCTGTATGATTTCTAACCAGTGGAGTCAACTCAATACGGATCACTGGGCAGCAGAAAGAGTTCAGCAGTAAAGCCACCAGTCATCATTGCGAGACTGGTATATCACATCTGCAGTAATTTGCCATTTCTTCCCATGCATCTCTGTGTATTTTATTTGTACTTTTGAGGATTTCTGTAGCTGCCATAACAAGACAGCCTAGTACATTTGCCCCATACTGATCCTCTCCCCAGCTGATAGCTCCTATGAGGAGACCCAAAACTGGGAACACAGGGCCGGAGGAGATCACAGCAAGTGACACCAAGAGTCAGTTCTAATGGAAAAAGAGACCCCAAGAGAGACAATATCCTTCTGCAGGCAAGTCATGGTCCCTCTCCCCACTGGACTGGGTGACACCAGCATTGATGGATGTTCAGAAACAAAGGCAACAGTAGCATTTTTGTCCTAATATTGTATACATTTACTGTGGACATCTCCAAGGCTGCCTGGTGTAGCACTCATAGCTAAAAGGACACATTTTCCCATAACCAGTAAATAAGGAAACAAAGTGGATCTGAAGGAAACAACTCCATGCACTAGATCTGCGAATACACCAACTTCTAGACACCAGGGACAAGCGGATACTCAGCTTAGTTTTATTTAACATGTAAGAATGTGAATATTACCAGCACTGACTTGTTACACTCCCAAAGCCACAAGAAGCTAGAATTACTCCTTGCAATGTAAGTTCCCTATATTTGACCACAGTAGTGAGTTCAAGCTTCATGACAGCAAAAGCAAAGCCAGCTGACTGTAAACCCACTGGGGTGAGCCCTGCTTCTCTCTTCACAGTCCTCTCTTTGAGCTGGGCACATCTCACACTTGCCTTTTTCTCACCCTTCTTATTTTTGCACCAGACTCTTCACTTACAGGAAAACAACCACAACAAGAACAGTGCAGGAAATGGTAAAATTCTTTGATGCTACCCACCACATTTTAATATGTGTTTTTTCTTGTACTGTTTAAAGGTTTAATTATTTTAATATTTCATTAGGAGTAGTATTTTCAGATACCCATTTTCCTCAAAAATCTTACTTTTCATTGTTTGGAAATTACTAGTTCTGCCATATTTCTGTTCTCTGTGTTGAAAAGTTGTTTGAGTAAATTTCACTATTTTGCCTGTTGCTCATGAAGTTTATTACAAGCAAGGTATTTTAAAGATGAGATACAGCTTTTATATGAATTCACAAAGAGACAGCTTAAAATTTTTTGCCACTCAAAGGCAGTAACAGGAAAAGGACCAGATTTCCTATGGATGATATCCCCTTAGCATTATTTACTCTTATTTTATCTGTTGCTACTCTTCTGACTATTAGATGCTCCAAGGCTACTGTGTATGTTCACTCCTGCTTCCCAAGATTTTGGCTTTAAATCTTTTTTTCCCTACAGGAAGAATCTGGCCACAAAAGCATTAAAAAATACTGCGAAGCCTGGGTCTGCACCAGTGCTTAAAGGAGGATCATGCTGTCCCCATCCGAGTCTGGTCTCTGTCAGCAAGGTAGCACAGTTATTGCTGTCCCACTGCTGCAGACTGGGTAACAATTACACACAGCCTTCATCTACTGTCTCATTTTCAAATATCCACAAGACACTACAACAATAGTTACCCAATACCAAAGCTATTCTGTCATCTAATGAAACTTACCACTGACAGCCTTTCCTTGTTTATAAACAGCCTGTACCTCACACTAGAGAAGTATTTCCTCTGCAAAGCTTTCATGGTTCCCTTATTTCTGCTATTGTCTGTGCAGGCCTGAGTGGAGATTTAACCTACTCGGATAGTAAGAGTTGTATACAAACACTTTGAAATCCTATGTCTTAAATTCTCTTAAGTGCTTGAACCAGGCACAGAAAGTTACAAAAAACTTCTCTGTTTATTTGTTCCTTCTTCCTTCCCCTACGAAGACACTGCCTGCACCGAATCTTCACACCTCCTACCACCTGACCTGTTTCAAATTTTCTACCCGAAGTTAATTCAACATACATCTGAGCATCCCTTTTGTCTGACTCATGCTCTCCTCTTCCTCATCTGCCAGTTATTATCAGCTTCCATAAACTCTGCTGTTCATAAACAATTAGTTCACCTTTTCTAGCTTCTAAACACATGCAGCAGATTACATTTATAGACTTTCCTTTCTCTCCCATTCATAAAGAGCTGCTGGCATCTCCCATTGTGATGAGCGTCCTACTACTGGAGCACTAACAAGTTTTGACTACACACATGCTACCACTTTCTTCAGTAAGCCTCATGCCAGCTCATCACTGATTCCTCACACCCATCACTCACAATCCATCATCCTCCCTACCAGCAGTATCAAAAAACAGACAAACTAAATTGAGCAGCCCACTAAAACTCAACCACCTCTCTTCACAGAACAGGTGATGCCATAAACTCAACAAGTTAGAGGAAAAGAAGTTATCACAAGTTATTGAAACTTTTAAAGTAATATTCTAAAAAACCCTCAGTAAACTGAAGGGAAAACACACACCACAAACTAAACCAGAGTTTATTACCACTACCCAACTGACACCATCTGAGATGATTGCTTCAGCCACCTTCACTAGAGTACCAGTTCAGGAGACAAACTGGACCACAGCCAAAGCTGCTGAAGTCTCACCGGGAAATAACGCCTACCCGGCGCCACCCGGATAAAAGCGGAAAGCTCTGCTGCCTTCAGCCACTACTTTCAGGGAGTTTCTCTCTTACAGATGTTCATCATACAGACTTCTGGGAATGTGGTAACTTTCTTGGTAAAAAGCATTGGTTCCTGAACAGTTGTAAGATTTGAACTAAGAAAACTGTGTTACAATCCTGAGCACTGACTATTTCCTAAAATGACATCGGCTGAACTTTTTATATCATGAGCTTTATTTATGCTCACCACCTGATTTTTAGCACCCACGACCGAGCATCCATTCATGAGTAGAAACAGAAAAAATGATCAGTCCAGTGCCACTCAACTATACGGAAGAAATAAAGACAATACAACAAAACTAAAAGCGTAACTCCTGCCGCCTTTCGCTGTAAAGCTTTTAGACAGCGCTGCTAAAGCACAGGTAATTAAAAGACACGAAAGAGGCCGTGACCCTCACGTCCCGGGGGAGGCTGCCGCATCTCCAAGGGCCTCCTAAAGCGCGCACCGCTCCTCAAGCCTAAAAACCCCGGGGGCTCAAGCCGCGCTCTGGAGCGGGACAAGCGGCACGAACGCAGGGCGCTCCCCCCGCCGCTCCCGCGCAGGCCGTGGCCGGAACGCTGCGGCGAGGCCCGCCGGGCGCGGCCGCCGCTCCCCGCGCCGGCAGCCCGCGGCCTACCAGCAGAGGTCCCTCCTTGGCCAGTTTTGCGGCGTGTTTTTGCTGCACTTGAAACTTTCTGGAGAAAACCCGGGCTCAGGTCCGCGTCTTCCCCAGGCTCGGGCAGAACCGCCGAGACAAAAGCGCCCGCCCGGCTTCTCGGGAGGAGCGCTCGGGGAAAGCGGTTTTCCAGTCTCTCCGTTTCCCTCCCGAATTTGCCTTTATATCCTTCGCCCCCGCCCCGGGCAATTAAACGGAGCGGGGGAAGAGTGCCCCCCGGCCCCGGCGAGGGGGCGGCGGTGGGGGCGAGCGCGGTGCGGGCGGGGGTGGGAGAGGAACTGGGTGTTAAGTGTTCCTGAGGAAGTTGCACAACGAGAGAGGGACTCTGCTTGTTTACCGGGTCCCTCGCTTTTCCCTTTCGCCTCCACCCCCCGGGACCGGGATCCGGGAAAAGGAGGTTGCCTCCGAGTGGAAAGGGAAAAAAAATTAAAAAAATGTTACCTTCTCCTCCCTCCTCCCCTCCCCCAGCGCGGAGGAGAAGGAGGAGGAGGAGGGGGGCGAGCTCTCTTTTTTTCTAGGGGGCTGCGGGGGCTCGCTCCTCGGCCGCTCGCAGCCGATCTCCGGGCATCCCTCGGCAGAGAAGTCACCCCTTCCCGCGGGAGGGGCCGGCACACGCCGCCTTCCCGGAGGGCTCGCCCCCGCCCGGCCCCGCAGCCGCCAGCGCCCGGCCCCGCGCTGCAACTTTTTCTCTCACGCTCTCGCGTGCGCCCGCTCCGACGGGGAGGGGGGAAAACCATGGGGGTGGGGAACGGCCGCCGCTGCGGCCCCGACGCGGCGCCCCCCGCCCCGGGCGCTGTAGCCCCGGCAGCCTCTCCGAAGCCCCGGCCGGGGGCGGGCGGCCATCGCTTTCCGCCCCCCCCCCCCACCGAAAAAACACCGCCCCACACGCGCTGGCGAGAACAAGTGTGCCTATATCCTGTTGTTATATGCACCGGCTGCGGAGACGGCGAGGGAGAGACGGGCGTGTGCGCGGGGGGCCGCTCCCCCACCCCGGCCGCACTTCAGGCGAGAGCGCGCAACTTAACAGAAAAGCCGCGTCCTATTCCCTGCCCCTGCCTGCCCCCCCCGCTCGCTGCCCCCGTCGTCGGCAAAATACGCACTCACGTGTATGTGCGCTCACACACACCGCCGGTACCCCGGGGCCAGCCCCCGGCAGCCCCCCGAGGCCGGCCCGCGGAGCCGGCGGCGGTGACAGGCGCCGGCCCCCGCCGCCGCACGCAGCCCGAAGCGGGCAGGGGCCGTTCCCCCGCCGCCTCACATGTCTGCCGCAGCGAGCGCGGCGCACGCACCGCACAGAGGCAGGAACTGAGCACTCGAGCAAAAGACTTTTTTTTTTTTTTTCGTCTCTTAAAAAAAAAAAAAAAATTGCTACAAGCTTGCCTTTTTTTTTTTTTTTTGTATGTGTATGTGTGTGCAAACTTTCCCCAAAATGGCGGAAATTGGGAGATGATTATATTTTAAATATCTCTCGCACACAATCACACAAAGTGCAGGAGCGACGGAAAATACAAACTCTCTGCTGCGCGCTGGTAGAGGCCTTCGCACACGGGGACCCACGGCACATTCAACCGGTATATCCCGGCAGCCGCCACCTCTCGCCGCTTCCGACCAAAAAACCCTTTTTCGCACCCCTCTCCGCTGCGCATTGCCCCCTCGCAGCCCGCACTTCTCCCCGTCCTTCAGCCTGTGCGAACAAAGAGCCGGGGCTGCAGAGGGGGGGCTCGGGTGGCAGCGAGCCCCCTCCCTCCGCTCCGCTCCCTCCCCGCCCGGCGCTCACACGCACACCCGTGCCCCCCCACCTTCTCCCCCCGCCGCCCGGCCGCGGCACCCGCATCACATTGTTCCCAACAGCACGGCGGTGCCCCGTAAGTGTCATTAAATGGAGCCAACTGACAAGCTCATTGGTGGGGCAAGTCTGCAAAATGTCTCTCCCCTTCCCTTCCCCCTCCCTTCGGAACCCACTACACCCCCCCCCCCAAAAAAAGGCCCCCCCAAACACATTTCCACAGCTCCCTCCCCCGTGTATATATATATGTACATACACATACGTGCGTGCGTGCCTGTGTATGTATATAAATATACAGCGCATATATATATACATGTACTCCCTTCATGTGTTTGGGAAGAGAAAAAGAAATACCAGGCACCTCTCTCTTTCTTTTGTTCCTCTTTCACACTCGTACACTTATGATTTAGTGAGATCCCCGGTGCCCCGGCCGCTCCCCAGCCACTTGCGAGTCACTTGCCCACTTTACCCGGCATTAACTTCCATCCTTTCTGCTCGAGGTGGTCGGGGAGAAGCCCCCCTCCCCTTCCCCAGATACGTTTCGTAAGGGAGGGAGAGGAGGTGCGTCTCTCCCTTTATCTCTCGCGCTCTCTCTAACTTTCATCCTCACCTAGGGGGAAAATTAAAACCCGTCACCAGCCTTTGCCATCGCGGCTCCCTAAACGGCTTGCGGATCAGATCGGAACCCGCCGCTCCTTACCCCCCCAAATTCTCTCTTTCTCCGTCTCTCGAGTAGTCCTGACAAATATGGTCCAGGGCTGCGGGCACAGTGAGCATGCGCCCGCGGAGCCAGGGCTGGGGAAAGGCAAAACTGCCGCCGCCGCCGCCGCCGCCGCGGCTCCTCTTCCTCCCTCGCCTGCGCTGCCGCTGCGCCCCGGCCGCCCGCAGCCGGCACCCGGCAGCCGGCACCGGCGGCGGGCATCGCCCTCGCCGAAAACGCGGCTGCCGACAAGGGCTCCGGCGGAGGTGCATCCTCCCCCTGATTTACTGCCGACGCTGGAGGAATAATAAGGAGACTTGTGCAGCAGTCGCGCGCTATTTTGGGCGCTTTCAAAAATAACGCCTTGCACTTTTCTGGGAGGGGGAGGTCCGGTCCTCCAGGGTCCCGCCAGGTGCTGCCGAGGTTGGGTGGTGGGCGCCGGGGAACCCGGGAAAGCCTGTCTGTGGCTCTTGGCCCCATCCTCTGCGTAGAACAGACCTGGAGCAGAGGCAGAACAGCTGAGCACCAGTAAGGAAAGTGCGGGTCCTGCGGGAGAGGGGCTGCCCTTCGCCGCGGCCGGCGAGGGGATCCCCGAGGAGATGGTGAGAAGCCAGGCATCGCTGCGCCAGGCTCCTCCTGCACTCCCAAAATACGGGGTGCATTCGGTATGGACGCGTTCCTTGTGATGGGCCTCGTCTCATTTACAACCTAACCAGCTCACAAAATAAAACTAGTCTCAGATGTGCCACCTGCTTGAATACTCTCCATCAGTGCCCTGTATTCCTAAAGACAAACACCATCTTCACTTATTTCTGCCTCTGGTTCAGAAAACAGTGAAAACTGAAGGCCCTTGTTATTTCATGGGAATGCCCAGGATGGACTTCACCTGCAAGGAGATCTGTTAGCAGAAGAACATTACACAACATAGACCTGTATGAGGCCTAAGAGTACTGGGAAAGAGGGAGAATGGAGGATTGTGATCAGATGTAAATATGATACTTTTAAAACTGTATATACATATATATGTGCAGTTTGAGGCAAAGTATAAAAGAACACAGAACACAATCTTAATTATACTAATCCTAACTTCTTTTTCAGACCACACAGCATCTCCCTAAAGTCAATCTGTCCTAAAGGCAAAAACTGACAAAATAAATTCTGAATTTTTGATAGTTTGGCATATAATTAAATATCTCTTAAAATGACTCTAAAATCTCAATACATCTTTTGTTAATTCCAGTAATGATCAACGACCAAGTTTTGTCTTGCTTTTATATATACTCCCTTCTACAATTACATTTCCAACTTTGGCCCAAATTACTAGAACAGAAATGATGATATGTACTAATAGGCAGCCAGTAATAAGTATCAGTTGAATATCAATAGAAGTAAATACAAATGACAAGACTAAGTGCAACCTGTTAGGAATTATGGATGCGTACTGTATTACCCTCTGATCCCCATGATGGGGACAGCATTGCACTGGACACAAGATAGAGATGCTCCATCTCTGACAAGACTTCCTAGCTTCAGCTTCTGTTCAGTAGAGTATTTACTTCAGAATGTGTGTTAGAATATTTAAGAACCAAGCTTGACAACTCTGCTCCCTTAAACTATGCCCATGTTAAAACAGTTCAGACAATCAGGCTTTTACTATACTATCTTGACAGTTTCTGTCTATTTAAATGAATTTTTTTTTCACACAGTAAAAAGGAGCTCATAGTTAAGTATTTGCAGAATTGGTGCCTAAGCAAAATACATTATAGTTGTTTTATTATGAGCAATGATGAGACTTCTCACACCCCTTCAGCTCAAATGCATCATATAGGCTGCAGTTTTCATCAATAAGCATATGTTCATTAGAAACTAATTACAGAAAACAGTATTAACCTAATTGTAATAATTAGTGATAACATACATTTTAACTCTTCTAAAACACAGATGCAAAAAATAGTAAAGGGTGAGAAAATTCCTACTTTCCACCAGTGAACTCTTACTTGAGGAAATTTATGTGTTAGAAACAAAGAATAAACTGTAACTGAAGTAATTCAGCACTTTTTTGAAAATTATTTCCCAATGTTCCCAATGTTCAATGTTGTTGAAATGTTTCAAGTCAGACAGTTGCCAGAGAACTAGATTATTCTATTGTAGCATTAAATTAGCTGGGCTCTGCAGAAGATAGTGAAAGAATGGTGCAATTTGGTGTTCTTTCAAACTCTTTAGGATGCTTGACCTGTACTGATTATTCTCCAGATGACAGTGATGTTTTGGGGGGTGGTATAACATACCCTGTTAAGAAAATACATTTCTAACAGTACAACTGAACTAGTTATCTTCCATCATTTTATTTATGCTTGAAAGACTTTGTCCCTTTCCTCTGAAAATCTTAAAAGGAAACATAGTCATATGTGTGAATGTAAGAATGTAGCCCCTTACAGAAAATGATGACACAGGTGGAAAAGCTGCTTGAAGGATGTATATTGGAAGCAGTAACTGAAACCAAGGATTTGAAACAGCACGTAGCTGCCTTATTGGATCAAACAGATAACTCTTTGATTACAATAAAAGGACATATGAAATTAATAAAGGTACCTTCTGTTCTCTGTCTCTTCTTCGATCCTTGCCCTAATCATAGTGTGTCAGCTCCTGATGTATAATAAACCCATTATTTTGTCAATAAAAATTTATTGAGTAAAAATAGATTAAACATTATTCACATATGCTCTTTAAACATTAGTTCTGTTGCCATTTTATTTAATACTAGAATTCCATCTGTAT